CATCCTGAAGCGCCCTGATGAACGCCTCCTTCAGGGCGCTGTTGCCTGCGATGGCCGCGTCCCAGTGGCCGTCCTGCTGAGCCGACCACTCCTTCATCTGCACCTCTCGGGCCATAGACCAGGCGCGGCACAGCATCGGCAGCAGGCCGATGACGCGATCGCCGCCCGACTTCTTGGCCAGCAGCCTCCCGATCATGCACATGACCTGCCACGGCCAGGAAAGGCCCTCCTCGATGGATGTGAAGAGGTCGCACATCTCCTGGAGCCCCTCCTGCGGCAGGCGCTCGAAGTCGAGCGGGAATAGCCGATCTACCCCGAGGCCCGCGCGAGCCTTCATGCCGCGCAGCGCCGCCCTCAGGTCGCTGACCGAGAGCGGCTCTAGGGTCTCTACCTCCGCGAGCGCCCCGACATCGTCGAAGGTGCTCATGATGCTGCTGTGGGAGGCTGACCCTCGCCACATGGCCTGTCACTTCTCCACTTTCATGTCTACTATGTCAATGGGGTGGACGAGCACCCCCGTGTCCACGTCGAGCTCGTCGGGTTCGGGGTCGCCGTCCTTGACGCTGCGGTGAACCTGTCATTGCGTCGCCGTGGAGCTGATCTAATCCTGGAACTCGCGCGGCGAGGCCGCGGCGGCGCGGCTCTGCGCACGACGGGCTGCCCTGAAGCACCGCCCCTCCCAGTCCGTCAGCTGGTCGATCGGGAGATCCCCCAGCCGACGCATGTCAGCCAGGAGAGAGTTCCAGCAGCCTTGCCCAGGCGGCAGCGCAGCTCCCGCGCCGTCCAGCGGCAAGTCCGCCAAGCGGCGGGCGGCTTCGGCTAGCTGCAGCACCTGGCTCTCGCCGTTGCGCCGCCGCCTGTGCCGCAGCGCGCGCTGCACCACCGTGTGGAGCCTGCCCCGCCAGCCAGCCACCCCATCCTTGAGCGGCTGGCTCCTCACGTGCTCGGCTTGACGTACTGGCACCACTCGCGCGTCGAACCCTTCCCTCCGAGAGACTCTGGGTTGAGCAAGGTCGTGATGGCATGAGATAGTGCGCTCCACAGTGTCAATCCATCGCGAGAACTGATTGCTTATGGGAAGGATATGCTTCTCGCCCACTTGGTAGGCAAGCGATTGCTTAATAGGCGACCAGACGTCGGAAGAAGAGTGTGAGTGCCAAGGAACTTGAGCCGAAATGGCTGCGTACGTGGAGCTGGGGATGAAGGAAGTCGGGAGGGGGGCAGGAGCGGCAGCAGCATCCGCAGGGGCGAGATTATGCTGCTCCTCGGCCGTGCCGGGGCCCGTCCCCCCAAGGCCAGACGCAGGGGCTGGGCCGCTACCCTCACCTTCGCCAACTCCATTTCCAGATCCCCCTCCAGAGGTCGGACAGACTTTCGAGCTCTGACTCGGGTCACAACTGCTCAATCGCTGCTGGTCTATGCTACTGCAAGGCTTGAAACAGGACTCGTCGGCCCAAGGGTCTTCTTCCTCGAAGCCAAAGTCCAGATCAAAACCTTCAAAATCGGGGCCCAAATCAGGATCCTCAGCCGAGAGGGTTTCGGGATTTTCGCCCGCGGCCCCTGGCTCCGAGAGATCCTGAACAGCAGGCCCTGAAGGCCTGGGCGCCGAGAGAGCGTCGGAAAACAAATTATCACACTCGGCTCTGATGCGCTCTCGGGCCTGCTGCACCTTCTCCTGATGCGCAAGCTTTGCTACACTGCTCTTGGAGCCCGCGGTGGGGGAGGCGAGGGGGCGAGGAACCTGGGGGAGGCGGGGAGCAACCTCGAGAGAGCGCATGCGAAGCTGTTGCCCAGCCCCACGCAGGCGAATCGAGAGACCACAATGCGGGCTCCAGGGCACATCTGTGACTGCTGACATGCTGTGAATATAAGGAAGGCAACCCTCGGACGCAACAACAAAATCGATATGTGAACCACCTGCGCTCCCGACGCAAGTGAATTCTATATCTGCCCGCTTGGTGAATCCTTTGATTCGCTTCAAGAACGCCGACCTGTCAAACACACTGATGTCAATGTTGAAATCACCGGCTATAAACCAAGGCAATTGCACACTCTTTAGGAAAGCTCCAATACGTGCGAAGCGCTGCAAGTTTTCTCAAGCAAATCCTACCGAAGGGTGAGCGTAGAAGACAACTGCAATGATCGAAAAACCTGTCATATACAAGACGACTGGAAGGAAGCCGTCGAGAGCATCTGAGCCCTCAGCACAGAAACTAGGCACAGAGGCAGCCCGCGGGATCACTCTGTGCACGCAGCGGTGGCCCTCGGACATGAACAGCTCCCCGCCCTCGTTGGCCTTGCCCACAGTGGCCGCTGAGGTCGCCCTTCCTGTCGCACGGGCTGGGTTGTCGATGAACCTCAACTTCTCCCGTCTGGCACTCCATGCCCACTTCGAACAAGTGTGGCATCCAGCATGGGTCTCCGTTAAGGCAATGTACTGGCACTGCTTGGCGAAAGCTGGCGACGTGACGCGGTTCCAAGCCTTCGGGCCTAGGCAGGTCACATTCGCGAAGAAGAGGCTACACAGGCTCGACTCGGCGCCAGCATCGGCGCCGCCAGCAGAGGTAGGCGGCCCAGGCGGCTCGGTGGGCAAGGCGGCCGGCCGCTACCCCCTTGCCCGCCGCGGGGGCTCACGCGCC